TCAAACTCTTCCACCAGATTATAGACGGGCAGAGGAAGCCATCCGATGGCGAACACAGCTGTCATGGCGAAGATAACCTTGACATTCCTTTGCCTTGGAAGGACATCAGCTTTCTGTAATGGCGATCTTGGCGCGAAACCTCGGAGCCTGTTGTGCCGCAGAGCTCGGCCAACCAGGCAGGAGCAGATGACTAGCACAAGCAAGGGAAGCAGGTACAACAGGGTAAACATCAACACTGCGTCGATCTTCCTGGTTGTGGTGGCCGAGTTTCTGTCGCACAAGGCGACTCGACCAGCGAGATGATAGGCGGGCTTTTGGCTGAAGATGAGGATTCGCGGCGCCATGAGAGCACAAGACAAGATCCAGACGCTGAACAGCATCCACAACTTGGCCTTGGTGGTTCTGCAGAAGACATGTGAACATCATACATTATATAAAAGCATAAAGCAGACAAACATTATATAAAAGCATAAAGCAGACAAACATTATATCACATCATAAAGCAGACATACATTATTTAGCAGCATAAAGCAGCTGCAGATAAATTGTTGGCCCTGAAGAGGACATATTTATCATCATCATCGCTCTATCGGGAGGTCACCTGGCCCTGACATTATCGATTCTGCGCAATCCACTCGGGGGCTATGGAAAAAAACCTAGTCCAACATCTTTATCTTTGCTCTCTAACCAACGATATATAGACTTCTCTTATACTGCCTGTTTCTTCATGATTTGTCTGTCAACAGTGAATTTATGTTTTTGAACAATGTATTTCTGTTTACAAACTGTGTATTTCTACTTGTGAACTGTGTATTTCTACATGTGAACTGTAAATTTCTACTTGTGAACAGCATATTTCTGATTGTGAACAGTACATTTCTACTTGTGAACACTATATTTCTGCTTGTGAACAACATATTTCTGATTGTGAACAGTACATTTCTACTTGTGAACAGTGTATTTCTACTTGTGAACAGTATATTTCTACTTGTGAACAGCATATTTCTACTTGTGAACAGTATATTTCTGCTTGTGAACAGTGTGTTTCTGATTATGAACGGTGTATTTCTACTTGTGAACAGTATATTTCTACTTGTGAACAGTATATTTCTACTTGTGAACAGTGTGTTTCTGATTATGAACGGCGTATTTCTACTTGTGAACAGTATATTTCTACTTGTGAACAGTGTGTTTCTGATTATGAACGGTGTATTTCTACTTGTGAACAGTATATTTCTACTTGTGAACAGTGTGTTTCTGATTATGAACGGTGTATTTCTACTTGTGAACAGTTTATTTCTACTTGTGAACAGTGTGTTTCTGATTATGAACGGTGTATTTCTACTTGTGAACAGTATATTTCTACTTGTGAACAGTGTGTTTCTGATTATGAACGGTACCATTTCTACTTGTGAACAGTTTATTTCTACTTGTGAACAGTATATGTTCTGATTATGAACGGTGTATTTCTACTTAGTGAACAGTATATTTCTACTTGTGAACAGTGTATTTCTGATTATGAACAGGTGTATTTCTACTTGTGAACAGTATATTTCTACTTGTGAACAGTATGTTTCTGATTATGAACGGTGTATTTCTTCTTGTGAACAGTATATTTCTACTTGTGAACAGTGTGTTTCTGATTATGAACGGTGTATTTCTACTTGTGAACAGTAAACTATATAAGTATGGTAAGCTAGTTTTATAGCTAAAGCCGCAATTAATAAACAACTAATATTGATTAACTAGTGACTAGGCAGAATAGAGGGAGTTAAATCGTATGACAAACCCCTAATGTTGAACTCTGGGAGAGAACTAAACATTTTACAGCGAATCAAGAGGTGGGGAAGTCACGCAGGTACTGGATAGGACACACGCTGAGGGAAACAATGTCTTTGCACTAGAACCGACAAAGTCAAAGGAATAAAGGCAGACCAAAAACAAACAACCCCCCCTCCCCTTCCCCCCACAAAAAGTGGAGAAGAGAAGTAGAGAGCAAAGTAGAAACAAATAGGTAGGATATGAGGTGATTTTCATGTGATAGCAAACCATAGTACTGGTGCGGACGGTGTGGGTTGGTGCGGACTGGTGTGGGTTGGTGTGGGTTGGTGCGGACTGGTGTGAGTTAGTCGAGGGCCTTTGCTTGACTCAAGAATCAAGAGCAGAAAAGATTTTGGTTTTTTTACTCAAATACCAAAAACTATGTATTTTATTCAAGTAAAATAAACCACACATTTCTTGAAGTCAAGTAAACTATACATTTAATTAAAATATCATAATCAAGACGGTTTTTCTCCCCTCTCCAGACCATAATAATAATAAAAATGGTTTTTTGCCTAAGTTTATAAAAGAAACGGAAACTTGTGTAAGTTCTCCGGTGTTTTCAGACAAATCTTACCAGAATCATCTGAGCACAGTGCACCAACTCGGTGGCGCCGTCTGGCTTTTGTGTGTTCGAGAAGCATACAACGGATGAATGGTCTGTGTGTGTCTGTGAGTGTGTGTGTGTGTGTGTGTGTGTGTGTGTGTGTGTGTGTGTGTGTGTGTGTGTGTGTGTGTGTGTGTTGGTTTTCTCAACAATTTATTTATATACATAAGTAATTAAAATGTCAGGTGTTTCTGGGCGAGTTGTCAGCTTTCGTAAAGTGATTTATAAGCCAAATCTTTGTCTTAATGTGGCTAATACAACTTAGGGAAATACTGAATGTATGTAAAGAACTTACCGAAAGCGGTGAGACTTGTGCGGGTATGCGATAGTCAAGTACTGTTGAAGCCCGGCAGCCAAGATAGTCAACGCGCCGACCGTCAGACTGACCGATGTGACGTAATTCTCTATTTTACCTGTGGATACAAATAGAGGTCAATGTGAGCACTTGTCCAACGTTCATCATCGTGTTTTCAATAATTGACTCGCCCACTTGCCGACTGATTCATTGGTTGATGTGTGGCTGGTTTGCATTTTGCTCGTGTGACAGGTTGACTTGTTAGTGAGTGCAAGAGAGAGAGAACGAACGAACGAACGAACTTTATTTTCAAAGGGTTACAACAGAGAGAGAGAGAGAGAGAGAGAGAGAGAGAGAGAGAGAGAGAGAGAGAGAGAGTGAGAGAGAGAGAAAACATTTATAGTGTTTGTGTGTGTGTGTGTGTGTGTGTGTGCCTATGTCTGTGTGTGTGTGAGAGAGTGTGTGTGTGCCTATGTTTGTGTGTGTGTGAGAGAGAGAGTGTGTGTGTGTGTGTGTGCCTATGTTTGTGTGTGATAGCTGGAATTGTGTACATCTGTTGAGGGTTGATTTTATTATAACTTTGAAATCCAGGGAGTTTGTAAAATTTTACTATACTTTGTTGACCTCTGAAGTGATGCTTGCCACTCTGCACGCTACATGCCTGACTCCGCCGTTCTCAACTTGCTCTGTGAGTTCACACTTTGCACACAGAACAAACTGGACAAATAACCAAACATAACGTCATCAGAAAATGTGCTCAACATTCATTAAATTATATATAGTACGTTCCAGCGATTAAACTCGACTCCACAAATATGCAATTCAGTTATCGTTTGGTTTAAATTGTTGATATTTGGCAATCTGTTAATAATCCTGCTCTTGTAACAATTTTTTTTTTTTTTTTTTTGGGTAAACAAACATTTCGTTTTAATTTTGCCTTATTTTCCGTATAGGAAGAGAGAGAGAGAGAGAGAGAGAGAGAGAGAGAGAGAGAGAGAGAGAGAGAGAGAGAGAGAGAGAGAGAGAGAGAGAGAGAGAGACAGAGAACAGATACAGACTCAAGGCAAACAGTTAGCATGCTCACAGAAAGTAAAGTAAACTGAATCAAAGGGAACTTTTCAAAACATCCGACTGCACCCGTTTTATGGGCGATTTACTCTGGAGTGGTTCATCTCCAGCAGTTCCCCCCTGAGTTGTTAGATGAACACAGTTCTTCACTTTCTCTGTAGGGGCTATCAAAATAATCTCTATCCATCGCTGCACGTGTAAACTGATTCCCGAACAATCTCCACATGTGTGTCAATTACTATATGTGTATATATATATATATATGTATATGTATAGATATATTTATATTTAGGGGTACACAAATTATTAGTCAAAAAAAGATCAAAGAAATTCGCCGCTTTAGGAAAACCGCACCACTTGTGCAATTTTGAATTATAAAATCTTACGAAAATGGAAAATCTATGGCGTGTTGATCCCTACAGGATTTGTTGCGATTGTCGATACGCACTAAAGTTACATTAGTCTCTTCTATTGGTCTGTGATTGTTGATACGCACTATATTTACATTAGTCTCTTCTATTGGTCTGTGATTGTTGATACGCACTATATTTACATTAGTCTCTTCTATTGGTCTGTGATTGTTGATACGCACTATATTTACATTAGTCTCTTCTATTGGTCTGTGATTGTTGATACGCACTATATTTACATTAGTCTCTTCTATTGGTCTGTGATTGTTGATACGCACTATAGTTTCAATAGTCTCTTCTATTGGTCTGCGATTGTTGATACGCACTGTAGTTTCAACAGTCTCTTCTATTGGTCTGCGATTGTTGATACGCACTATAGTTACAATAGTCTCTTCTATTGGTCTGCGATTGTTGATACGCACTATAGTTACAAAGCTACTGCTATGGTCTAACGCTGTTTTGGGGAAGTTGGAAAGTACCAACGAAATATTTGGTAGGTGTCCACGACGGCTTCAGAACGCGACCATCCGTCTGTATAGACAGCCGTTGCGAAACACTCGTTCAGACACACACAAAATATTTCTTCCGTTCATAACACTGTTCTGTTTGACTCCAGCAAGCAGCAGTCATTCACTGCCAGAAGATTCACCATTGATTGTGTGGCACATTTTGTTTAATGGCGAGATGTACTTGGTTGTTCAGATTTGTTCTGCATGCAAACTGTAGTGAGACTTGACAAACACCCAATATTTCCTGGCCCATCGACTGAAAAACTGTGTGATTAACAGCCAGTCGATTTATGAGGTTCTCTGTGCAAGTGTCAGTTACTGGGCCGTGCACATGTGACCTGTCAGTTACTGGGCCGTGCACATATGACTTGTCAGTTACTGGGCCGTGCACATATGACCTGTCAATTACTGGGCCGTGCACATATGTCCTGTCAATTACTGGGCCGTACACATATGACCTGTCAGTTACTGGGCCGTACACATATGACCTGTCAGTTACTGGGCCGTACACATATGACCTGTCAGTTACTGGGCCGTACACATGTGACCTGTCAGTTACTGGGCCGTACACATATGACCTGTCAGTTACTGGGCCGTACACATATGACCTGTCAGTTACTGGGCCGTACACATATGACCTGTCAGTTACTGGGCCGTACACATGTGACCTGTCAGTTACTGGGCCGTACACATATGACCTGTCAGTTACTGGGCCGTACACATATGACTTGTCAGTTACTGGGCCGTACACATATGACCTGTCAGTTACTGGGCCGTACACATATGACTTGTCAGTTACTGGGCCGTGCACATATGACCTGTCAATTACTGGACCGTGCACATGTGACCTGTCAGTTACTGGACCGTGCACATATGACCTGTCAATTACTGGACCGTGCACATGTGACCTGTCAGTTACAGGACCGTGCACATATGACCTGTCAGTGACTGAGCAGCACATGATCAATAGCATCTTTATCTCTTCTGGATGTGCTCAGAGCCAAACATGGACAATCAATAGGACACTAGAACAGACAAACATGGACAATCAATAGGACACTAGAACAGACAAACATGGACAATCAATAGGACACTAGAACAGACAAACATGGACAATCAATAGGACACTAGAACAGACAAACATGGACAATCAATAGGACACTAGAACAGACAAACATGGACAATCAATAGGACACTAGAACAGACAAACATGGACAATCAATAGGACACTAGAACAGACAAACATGGACAATCAATAGGACACTAGAACAGACAAACAAAACTGCATGTGAAATGTGCTGTCTCCGCGAGATCACTACCAACACTAGATGAGACAGGGTCACTAACAACACTAGATGAGACAGGGTCACTAACAACACTAGATGAGACAAGGTAACAAACACCAGCATTAGAGAGAAAGTTGGAATAAGACCATGTCTGGATTATAATGACAGAAAAAGAATGAAATGATTCAGCCATCTAATGAAAATGCAGCCAGACCAGACCAGACTGCAAGTAGGATTTGTTCAGTAGAACATCTGGGACGAAGGCGAATGGAAGACCAAGAAAGAGATGCATTAATGGTGCAAAAAGTTGAATAAATCCATCACCCAAACTACCCGAGAAAAGCAAGACAAATACAGAAAACCACGACATTGGGTATCAGAAGAGACGACTAACCAAACACCTACAACATGGTTCAGTGTATCAACCTGGTATCAGTGAGACGACAAAACCACGACAGGCTACAACCTGGTATCAAGACGACAAAACCACGACACTAGGCTACATCCTGGTATCAGTGAGACGACAACACGACACTAGGCTACAACCTGGTATCAGTGAGACGACAAAACCACGACACTAGGCTACAACCTGGTATCAGTGAGACGACAAAACCACGACACTAGGCTACAACCTGGTATCAGTGAGACGACAAAACCACGACACAGGGCTACATCCTTGTATCAGTGAGACGACAAAACGACGACACGGGGCTACATTCTTGTATCAGTGAGATGACAAAACGACGACACAAGGCTACAACCTGGTATCAGTGAGACGACAAAACCACGAAACAGGGCTACAACCTGGTATCAGTGAGACGACAAAACCACGAAACAGGGCTACAACCTGGTATCAGTGAGACGACAAAACCACGAAACAGGGCTACAACCTGGTATCAGTGAGACGACAAAACCACGAAACAGGGATACAACCTGGTATCAGTGAGACGACAAAACCACGAAACAGGGCTACAACCTGGTATCAGTGAGACGACAAAACCACGAAACAGGGCTACAACCTGGTATCAGTGAGACGACAAAACCACGAAACAGGGCTACACCTGGTATCAGTGAGATGACAAAACCACGAAACAGGGCTACACCTGGTATCAGTGAGATGACAAAACCACGAAACAGGGCTACATCTAGTATCAGTGAGATGACAAAACCACGAAACAGGGCTACACCTAGTATCAGTGAGATGACAAAACCACGAAACAGGGCTACACCTAGTATCAGTGAGATGACAAAAGAAGAAACAGAAGATCTGAACAGTCTGGTGTCCAGTCTCAGGCCACTGGGATTCAAGAACTACCGGTCTTTAGGGCCCATTAGCAGAGTCCAGGAGACAGACTCTGGAACTAAACTGCCTATGTCTGCCGGATAATATCAGATTCTGTCTAAAACTGTCAGAATCCTGGCAGATAGACAGATGGCTAACAGACAAACATACAGATATACGGGAAGACAAATATGCGGACAAACAGATAATTAAACATGTATAAAGACATACAGATTTGCAGACAAAGAAAGAGCCAGACAGACAGACAGACAGACAGACAGACAGACAGACAGACAGACAGACAGACAGACAGACAGACAGACAGACAGACAGACAGACAGACAGACAGACAGACAGACAGACAGACAGATAGATAGATAGATAGATAGATAGATAGATAGATAGATAGATAGATAGATAGATATAGATAGATAGATAGATAGATAGATAGATAGATAGATAGATAGATAGATAGATAGATAGATAGATAGGTAGGTAGATAGATAGATAGATAGATAGATAGATAGATAGATAGATAGATAGATAGATAGATAGATAGATAGATAGATAGATAGATAGATAGATAGATAGATAGATAGATAGATAGATAGATAGATAGATAGATAGATAGATAGATAGATAGATAGATAGATAGATAGATAGATAGATAGATAGATAGATAGATAGATAGATAATGTTTGGAATGCAAAGCAAACGTTGCATGTCACCTCTAATAAATTATGTTCAGCCCCCGTGTGTGCGCGCTAGTATATATGTGTGTATGCGTTTGCGTATGTCTCTATGTATGCGCGCGTGTGTCAGATTTACCGAGTTATCTGTCGGTTTAACCAAGTGACAGACGAGAGGTGTCGACCTATTTTAAGCAGCTGGGTTGACTAATTATAGCTACCGGCGAGCTCAAATGGGCACATCAGAACTGGAGGACATTTGTTATGTAACTTGTAGCAGCTCGTCGTCAGGAGATGTGATTTACGTCCTTACTGAGATGTGACCTTCACTGAAGGTCAGTCAACTCTGGGCACATATAACACACATACGCACCCACACACTCTGCCCCTTGCACTCACTCTCATAGAAACACGGACACACCCACAAGCACTTAGAGTGTGAAGATCCCCCCCCCCCCTACCTTCTGTGACCTGACAAAACTGGTTCCCAAGCAGGGTTGTCAGACCCCCCCCCCCTTTCCCCCTCTCCCACCTTTTCCCTGTTTTCCTTATGTCGTCATCACTGCTCCCAAGCCAAGGCCAGTGCATGAATCTGTCAGTTCTGGTGTCGACCTTAAAACGGTGGCTGGTACGTTAGTTTGTGGTTTGCAGCTAGGCTGTGATGTCTGTCTCTTTTGATCCTGCAATCCAGTTTTAACTCATCACTTATTGCACTTATTGATCTCCCTTACGGCATGCTTGCAGTGCAAGGGGAGCGGCGTCAAAACAACGAAATCATCGCTAGGTGTAAGCTCCCTCTCAAGAGTGTGTAAGCCTAGTTCAAGTGTACATTCATAATAATTATTATAGTTGTAAATAAAAGTAATCACTATTATTGTTATTTGTTGAATGGCCAATAAATATAATGTACAACAACCTTAATTAATTCCTTTTTAAAGGGGGGGGGGGTTAACTCGGTCTATCCCCCCCCCCCCCCCCCCGGGGGGGGGGGGGGTCTGCCTGGAAGCGGAACACAAGGACGTCAAGAAGCAACAAGTGGCAGGAACACAAAATAAGTCAGAATTCTATTTTCACGCCTCAAGCATCCGAGGTGGTCCCACTAACCGAGTGATCAATTCGTTCGCCTTGTGTTCTAAAGGTCGTGGGTTCCTTTCACCGATGCGCCATTCAGTGCAGCTGTAACAAGAACCATGGGAAGGTCTCTGGAGCCACGGCTTTCGTGCTATGTGCGACGGCTAGCTGTTCTGTGGAGACAGACTGAGCCAAATAGAATAAGACCATGGTACAATAAAGTCAGTCCTCTCAACTATCGCCAAACACCTTCAGACAGACGTCATCCAATCAATGCCTTTGCTCTCACAGTTGTCCATTTTCTCTCTGGTAGGCTTCTCCCCTCACAGTTGTCCATTTTCTCTCTGGTAGGCTTCTCACCTCACAGTTGTCCATTTTCTCTCTGGTAGGCTTCTCCCCTCACAGTTGTCCATTTTCTCTCTGGTAGGCTTCTCCCCTCACAGTTGTCCATTTTCTCTCTGGTAGGCTTCTCCCCTCACAGTTGTCCATTTTCTCTCTGGTAGGCTTCTCACCTCACAGTTGTCCATTTTCTCTCTGGTAGGCTTCTCCCCTCACAGTTGTCCATTTTCTCTCTGGTAGGCTTCTCCCCTCACAGTTGTCCATTTTCTCTCTGGTAGGCTTCTCACCTCACAGTTGTCCATTTTCTCTCTAGTAGGCTTCTCACCTCACAGTTGTCCATTTTCTCTCTGGTAGGCTTCTCACCTCACAGTTGTCCATTTTCTCTCTGGTAGGCTTCTCACCTCACAGTTGTCCATTTTCTCTCTGGTAGGCTTCTCACCTCACAGTTGTCCATTTTCTCTCTGGTAGGCTTCTCACCTCACAGTTGTCCATTTTCTCTCTGGTAGGCTACTAACCTCTCTCAGCTTCTGTCAACAGTTACCCTAACTGTCCTCACTGAGTGCAGCGCAATGCCACATTTCTGACCTCGACAACAACGTCCGGGTCGCTGCCCGCAGCGAAAATGGGTCAATATCTGAACAACAGGCGGCATCTTGTCACCGGGCTTTCCTGTCTCCTGTCAGCAACTGTAAGCACAAACTTCTCTAACGGGTGTAGGGCAGATGGGATCAGACTTCATAAGTATGGGTCATCTGCTGGGTCTACCAACAAAAGTGTAGGTCTACCAACAGAAATGTGTGTCTACAAACAGAAGTGTAGGTCTACAAACAGAAGTGTGGGTCTACAAACAGAAGTCTAGGTCTACAAACAGAAGTGTGGGTCTACAAACAGAAGTCTAGGTCTACAAACAGAAGTGTGGGTCTACAAACAGAAGTGTAGGTCTACAAACAGAAGTGTATGTCTACCAACAGAAACGTGTGTCTACAAACAGAAGTCTAGGTCTACAAGCAGAAATGTGGGTCTACAAACAAAAGTCTAGGTCTACAAACAGAAGTCTAGGTCTACGAACAGAAGTGTGGGTCTACAAACAGAAGTGTAGGTTACAAACAGAAGTGTAGGTCTACAAACAGAAGTGTATGTCTACCAACAGAAATGTGTGTCTACAAACAGAAGTCTGGGTCTACAAACAGAAGTGTAGGTCTACAAACAGAAGTGTATGTCTACCAACAGAAATGTGTGTCTACAAACAGAAGTCTGGGTCTACAAACAGAAATGTAGGTCTACAAACAAAAGTCTAGGTCTACAAACAGAAGTGTGAGTCTAAAAACAGAAGTGTGGGTCTACACACAAAAGTGTTGCTCTATAAACAGAAATATGGGTCTACAAAC